TCTTATTCTTCTCTATTTGTTTAGTGCCCCCAAATAGTAGAACTATTGTAGAGAATACATAAATGTGTTAATTAGGTGATGCTGGCTCATGACATGGTGATGATATGGTGCCACCTGCCTCAGCACTGACTCTTCCTGTAACCTCTCTCAGGAATGTCCATTTTTCCAAGAGACTCTTTAAACTACCAGTTTCCATGATGAAGTGTTGCCTGGCAGTTTTCATGCTGAAGTCAAACACCAACAATTGAATCCTCTTCTAAGTCTCCATTTCAGATATCCAGATTCTCCATCCCCCCATTCTTCAACTTTCTTAGAATTAAAAGCCCTGTATCCCTGTTAAGCTTCCTTAGGAGTAGAAAAGGCAAACTATAATCTGATTCTGCATCAGCTTCATTCCCTTTGGATCAAGTTTAACATAAAGAAAGCTTTGAGATGTGAGGGGAATGGATAAGAAGTTGTTCTGAGAATACAGTAACCCCCCCTTACCCACAGTTTCACTTTCCATGGCTTCAGTTACCCACAGTCAGCTGCATCGGGAAGCAGATGAGCCTCCTTCTGACACGTCATCAGAAAGTCAATAGTTGGGGCACCTGGGTGGCTCAGTCGTTAAGTGCCTGCCTTCGGCTCAGGTCATGATCCCAGGGTCCTGGGATCAAGCCCCGCATCGGGCTCCCAGCTCCGCGGGAAGCCTGCTTCTCCCTCTCCCACTCCCCCTGCTTGTGTTCCCTCTCTCGCTGTGTCTCTCTCTGTCAAATAAATAAAATCTTTAAAAAAAAAAAGAAAGTCAATAGTTGCCTAATGCTACATTGCAATGCATACATCAGTCACCTCACTTCATCCTATCCTGTAGGGATTTTATGATCTCACATCATCACAAGAAGGAAGGTGAGTACAGTACAATAAGATATTTTGAGAAAGAGACACCACATTCACATAACTTTTATTATGGTATATTGTAATTGTTCTGTATTATTATTAGTTATGTTGCTAACCTCATACTGTACCTAACTTATAACTCAAGCTATATCATAGGTATGTATATATAGGAAAAATACAGTAGAGCATATATAGGGTTTGATATTATCTGCAGTTTCAGGCATCCAATGAGGGTCTTGGAATGTATCCCCTGTGGATAAGGGGGGACTACTGTACCTTAAGAGATATACAATATACATCAACTCTGAAATCATAAACCAATGGTTCAATATGGTCTTTTCCCAAATTCAGGTCTGTCTATCTTAAAGGCAAGACAGTGGAAGGGTTAACCCTACACATGTATGTCCATCGTACCCAAGGGAGTCTTATCAACTTAATTAAAGGAGTAATACAGGATATTTTTTAACTTGAACATATATGACTCAGAAGTCTCACCCAAACTTTTCTGAACTATAAATGGTCCTGTTTTAAAGTATGAGCCAAAAGGTCTGGGGACACTGAAAAGAAAATGTTTCTTTTGGCCTGACAAATGATAAAGAGCTTCATTTTATAAGGTGTTACTAAAAAGAAAAAAATGGCAAAAGTCAATTCAAAGGAAACAGAGTGAAACGGATTTAAAAGTGCATGAAACCATTGAGAGCAAGTACTATAAAGTAGCTGAAAAACACACTATGTGGAAAAATTAGAGATAGTACACTGAAAAAATAAGATGGGAACAGGTATAAAAGTGAAAAAGAATGGCCTATTGTCATTCTAAGAAGTAATGCTATATGGCAGGCAATAAAAGACCCTCAGCAGATTTTAAGTAGGGGAGCAAGATAATCGGAATTGTGTTTGAAAAAACTTCTGCAAACTACATGGGATTTAGGACTAGTGCAAAAGATGTTCAAGGCAAGGAGACAAATGTGGAGGTATAGCAATCCTCCAAGCAGGAGGTGAGTAGCTGGACTAGAGCACTAGTAGTCAGAATGGAGAACACAAGGCATGTTTATGAAACATTTCTAAATAAACATAAAAAATGAGTAACTTATAGACTGAGATTTAATATTATTCAGACTACTCCAGGACCCAACAAAGATCCAAGTGGCTTAGATGGTAGGGACAGAGACAGCAATGTCCAAACAAAGGAAATGGGGAAGGTAAAAGGATACCCATGTGAAAGGCACATGATGAAGGTCTTTGTCCAGAACATACCCTAACTTCCAGCCAAATCTCCTAAAAGAGGCAGCCTCTCATTCCTCTCCTTCTAGTCCTTAACTTCAGGCCCTTCCAGGTGACCCAGACAGTATTCATGAAATAAGTGACCAGAAATCTGATCTAGAAGTCAAAGAGTCCTGCTATAGTTTGTCTCTATATCTGGCATTTAGTATTTATTAAGAAATTACATAAGGAAGGTGGTTGTAGGGGTGGTGGTGGTGGTGGTGTGTGTGTGTTTATACTCATAAAATGGTTAAGTCACTTAAGATCAAATCCATGAAACTTATCCTGAGCATATTAACTACCACAGACTTGGAATCCCTTCTAAAATCTAGGATAATCGCTGCATCTTTAGAAAAAATTTTAAAATGGGTCTGATTCATCTGTTTATTATCCATGTCTCTAATAGGCTTTCAAATATATTTTTTCAAATATAAAACAGATACACACATTCATCATATGCCCATACAAAAGCATGCATACAAACACTTATAAAAAAAAATCTGGAGAGGGGCTCCTCAGTGGCTCAGTTGGTTAAGCGTCCAACTCTTGATTTCAGCTCAGGTCTTGATCTCGGGGTTGTGGGTTCAGGTCCCCCACTGGGCTCCACACTGGGCATGGAGCCTACTTAAAAAAAAAATCTGGACAAATAAACACCAAAATGTTAACAACTATGTACTGTATGGGACTAACATAATAAAAAAAAAAGTTTGTCTTTTAATGTGACAAGTTTACTGGAATTTATTATATTTTTCTTTTATATTTTGAGAGTATACAAGGTTGTTTACAGTGATCATATACTGCTTTCCCACTAAGAACCAACATCTGTCTCTTCTCTTTCTCTCTCTCTCATTCTCTTTCTCTCAATCCCTATGTCAGGGTACTACTGGGTAAGAGGCTGTTCCTCCATCCAAAATGACCAAAGCCTGCACTGACTCTAGTTTATGTTCCTAGTTCTGTTGGCCACCACTCACCTGAACATATCAGATTCCACACTGCTCACAATTCTCATCCTCTGGATTCCAATCCAAGAAATCCGATGTGCTCTCTCCATACCCTCTCTACCAAGCAGTCTGCTAGCTATAGCCAGAAAATTCTGGCTGGCACTGTGCCATGCTTTCTACTACACTATCTGCTTCTCACACTCACGTACCTCTCTTTGAGTCTAATTGCCCCCCCCCATGGGTGGTGGTCTCATTTCTGCCCTGTCTATTCCCACTGCACTCCTGTAGAGCCCACACCCTCTCCTTCCCATTCTTCTTCCTTCTAGAAGTGTTGTGTCTACCTTGTGAGGCTCTTAGGTAGACCTCTGGGACCATATTCATGCTAAGTACAGCTAGGAGGGGTGTAGTCTTTATTGGCCTCTCCCACGGTCTTATTTTACAAGCACTAATGCTATGGGCTTCCCCTGCAGGGCCATTCAGAGCCTAGGGGATATGTGGTGTCCACCTATATGAGCTACTCAGTTTCTTTGAAGCCATGCTTGCTTTAACCTTGCTTTCTGGCTAGCCACATGGGCCACTGGCCTTGCTCAGCTCTTGATTCCTGCTCTGTGAGAGACCCGCCATTTCTGACATGAGCTTCTAGGTGTTCTCAGCTGCATTTCTCCATAAAGTGTCTCTCCAGGTATCCAGTGAGTGCCTCCACTGCTAACCAACACACTTCTGCTGCTACTACCCAAGTATGGTGGCAAATGAACCCAGAACTATTGGGATTAAAGCCATCAGCAACATTAACAGGAAATTCCTATATGCAATACTAAGTGAGTGAGGAGGAAATTAAATACCTCCCCTAAAAAATGCAAGACTCTGGAAATGTATAACTAACTCACGGGTTTCTCTAGCAGACCCTCCCCACAATATGGGATTGGCATCAAAAGACAATTTTTTTTTAAAGATTTTATTTATTTATTTGAGACAGAGAGAATGAGAGAGACAGAGAGCACATGAGAGGGGGGGAGGGTCAGAGGGAGAAGCAGACTCCCCGCCGAGCAGGGAGCCCGATGCGGGACTCGATCCTGGGACTCCAGGATCATGACCTGAGCCGAAGGCAGTTGCTCAACCAACTGAGCCACCCAGGTGCCCCCAAAAGACAATTTTTTGTGACCTCATATAATTCACTGATCCCCATTAACATCAATTTCCCCATTGGAATAATAGTGATACTAATCATATTCCTGCCCAGATCAAAAGGTTGATAAGAAAATTAAGGAAAAGTGTCCATGAGCTGTGAAAACTCTCAAAACAGAATATGTTCTCTCTCATTCATGTAGGTAACTATAGTCTTTTCAAGGTTCTACTTCTAATCCTCCTCTTAAGGGCTGGTGCCCAGAAGAACAGAAATGATTTATTCTCTGTGGAGATTATTTTGAAGAAGGAAATCCAGGTATATCTCTTTTCCTGGGATCCAAAACAGTTGGGGATTCTGAAGAGGAAATCACAGTTTTAAGCCAGATTATCTGATTGTACTGCACTCTTGTGTTTATTTTACTTTGCCATGCTTAACCCTTTCATCAAGATCCCTTAGATGTGCCACTCTCATCTCAGAATGCTATGGACTATCAGTGCAAGCAATTAGAGATTTGGACTACATGGTTAAATGGGAAGGAATAACCCTCCAGCCACAACAACTTCATGGTTCTAATAATTATACAGAGAGAATTATAAAGGGAAAATATTTTAAAATGGGGATCGGTAGTATATGGGTCTACCCCTATCCTATAGAGATTCTCCAACCAGTTTCATGTTTAAAGAATCAGTTGTGTTTCTACTAGTGAAGATTTTTTTTCCCTAATACTGTCTTCCAAAATGTTGACATTAAAATCTGAATTGAAAAACTTTGAGTAAAAGGGAAGTTTTCACTGACATCTAGGGATCTGAAGTATGGGTAGTCACATGGAAAAGACGAAGTATTCGCTGCCGGATCTCCTTTGTCTTGACTCCGTAAACAATAGGGTTGAGCACAGGAGGAACAAGCAGGTAGATGTTGGCCATGATGATGGGTAAGAGGGAGTCATGCCGCTTGCCAAAACGGTGCACCATAGATAATCCAATGAAAGGTACATAAAATATGAAAACAGCACATACATGAGAGACCCAAGTACCAAATGTTTTGCTTGGGCTTCACGTGTCAAGCCCAACATAGTCTTGAGGATAAGCAGATATGACAAGGAGATGAGAAGTGAGTCCAGGCCAATGGCAGAAATGATGACAATGAGGCCATAGATGATATTGACACGGATGTCAGCACAAGCCAGCTTCATGACATCTTGGTGTAGGCAGTAGGAATGGGAAAGAATGTTGGAGTGGCAGAAAGGCAGCCATTTGATGAAGATAGGCAGGGGTGCCATAAGTGCAGTACCCCATACCACAGCAGCCAGGCCAATCTTGGTAACACGAGGCAACATTAGCACAGTGGCATGGCGTAATGGGTGGCAAATGGCCACATAGCGGTCAAAGGCCATGGCCAGCAGTACCGTGGACTCCATGCCAGATAAGGAGTGGATGGCAAACATCTGTAGCAGACAAGCATCAAATTGGATGATAGTGGAATTGAACCAGAAGATGCCCATCATTTTGGGCACAGATGAAGTGGAGATAAGGATGTCAAGGCCAGAAAGCATGCAAAGAAAAATATACATGGGTTCATGTAGGCTGTGCTCAGTCGGCACAATGTAGATGATTGTCAGGTTACCTAGCACAGCAATAAGGCACAGGGAGCACAATGGGAAGGCCAACCAGAACTGAACTTCTTCCAAGCCTGGAAGGCCTATTAAAATAAAATATGTGGCACTGGATTCATTGCTATCGGGGTCCACCATAGTGAAGATGCTGAGCCTCAACCAGTGCCAGGCAGGTTGAGGCTGGAATACAAAAACAAGCCATTGTCAGATCCTCCAGGATCCCAATACCATGCTTTTTTCCCTCCACCCTGATGTCCTATTCTCTGACCCAAACTCTAACTTCATTGCCTATCCAAACTCTGATTCTATTCTAAACTCAACCTAACCACCATTTGTAACTCAAGGCCCAGTTCTAATTATTAATCCCACCTCTAAAGTCAATCTTGAAAACAACTGAAATACTAAGACAAGTTGCCAGAAAGCAGTTGAGTATGAAGAAGAGCTCATGGCCAGCATCAGAAAGGACTTCCACCATTCACTGGGCTCAGGATGTGTCAGTAATCTTTGTACCACCATTGAGCTATTACACGGGTTCCCTCAGACCAGGCAGAGAGCAAAACATTGGGAGCACAAGATTTAGAGCAGAGAGTGAGAGTTTAATTCAAACTGCTGGAGGGAGAAGGTATAAGGAGCCATATTTAACCTAGAATTTCAGGCAAAGAAGCCAAAGTCATCAGTGTTTTAAATTTCCTGTACTTTATTCACCATGACCAAGTGGGATTTATCCCTGGGCTGCAAGGTTGGTTCAACATCCGCAAATCAATCAATGTGATACAATCCATTAAGAAAAGAAAGAACAAGAATCATATGATCCTCTCGATAGATGCAGAAAAAGCATTTGACAAAGTACAGCATCCTTTCTTGATCAAAACTCTTCAGAGTATAGGGATAGAGGGTACATACCTCAATATC